CGCCCCTTCGGCGGTGCCTCCCCGGTCTTCTCCCGTGCCTCCTTTGGGGGCAAGGGCAGCAGTGGCAGCTCCGTCACCTCCCGTGTCTACCAGGTGTCCCGCACCTCAGCTGTCCCCAGCCTGTCCAGCTTCCGCACCACCCGCGTGACGCCCCTGCGCTCCTACCAAAGTGCCTACCAAGGTGCCGGCGAGCTGCTGGATTTCAGCCTGGCCGACGCCATGAATCAGGAGTTCCTCCAGACCCGCACTAACGAGAAAGTGGAGCTGCAGGAGCTCAATGACCGCTTCGCCAACTACATTGAGAAGGTGCGCTTCTTGGAGCAGCAGAATGCCCTCATGGTGGCCGAGGTGAACCGCCTGCGGGGCAAGGAGCCCACCCGCGTGGCCGAGATGTACGAGGAGGAGCTGCGGGAGCTCCGGCGCCAGGTGGACCTGCTCACCAGCCAGCGGGCTCGTGTCGAAGTCGAGCGCGACAACCTGCTTGATGACCTGCAGAAGCTCAAGCAGAGGTGAGGAGGGGCCCCGGCGTGTCCCTGTGGGCATCCATCCCTACATCTCCATCCCTAGGGATGGGCGGTGGCAGAGCTCACCCTGGCAGCCCCTCAGGTGCTTGCTGCCATCCCTGTGCCCTGTGCTCGGAGCCCATCGTGGCCCCACACCTCTGTCCCCCTCACCCTGTTCCCCAGGGCGGGAGAGCACCCTGGCCATGTCTCTTGCTGGCTGCACTCGCCTGCAGGGCACTTTGCAGGATGCCAGGTCCTTGCATGGTGGCTGTGAGTTTTGGGAGGGAGAAGGGCACCCACGACTCACTACACCAGTGCTGGGTGCTCCCCGACCCACGGTGTGGGGCAGGCAGGGGGGGAGCTGGCCCAGCAGCTTGGGGCAGGGCGAGGGAGGTGCCCACAGCCTGGGCACCCCAGCAGGGCACCCCGGATGGCCACTGCCAGCCCTCGCCAGGCACCCAGGCAGCACCCAGCGGGCAGGACGGCTCCGGCAGCAGGGGTGTCCTCTGCGCCCTCCCTTGCAGCGAGGCTGAGTCCAGGCTGTGATGCCCCAGGACCCTCAGCACTGGGAGATGGAGCGCCCC